CAGGAAATTTAGTCATTAAAAGGCATGGTGAACAGAAGCCCTAGTGTTCCTTGTAAAAGTGTGTCCCATCAACTGAGAGTCACAACAGTAACAAAGCACTGAGCCCATGGTTGGCAGAGGGCTCAGGCTCCAGAAACTGCCTCCTTGGTATGAATGTTGGCTGTTTAGTGTATCTGAGAGCCCTGAACCCAGACCCCTCAAATAGCTTGATGTCTACCCCCCACCACACGCACACATATACATGGAGGTAAACTGTTGGGTGGGTACTAAAAAAGCACTAAGACCAGCTTCCAAGAATGGCATCCCAGCATGTGTTTGCTGCCAGACAAGACTGAGAGCCCTGTGCCTCCAACCTCTGACCATCAAGGAAACACAAATCAAATGATATAGAAATTTCATCTCACCCCAGTCAGAATGATTACCATCAAGAACACAAACAACAACAAATGTTGGTGAGGATGTGGGAAAAAGGAGCTCTTATACACTTATGGTTGGACTGTAAATAAGTGCAGCTATTATGGAAAGCAGCAAGGAGGTTCCATGAAAAACTGAAAATAGGATAACCATATGACCCAGAAATGCCATTCTTGGGCATATATCTGAAGGAATAAGTCAAGGTACAATAGAGTAACTTGCACGTCCATATTTATTGCAGCATTATTCACAATAGCCAAGCTTTACAATCAGCCTAGATGCCCTTCAACCAATTAATGCATAAAGAAAATGTGGTATGTGTACACAATGGAATATTATTCAATCAGAAAGAATGAAATTCTGACACTTGCAGGAAAATGGATGAAACTAGAGATCATCATGTTAGGTGAAGTAAGACAGGTTCAGAAGAACAAAGGTTGCATGTTCTTTCTCAAATGTGGAATCTGTATATATATATATATATATATATATATGTACATAATACACATGCATATATACAAAAACATAAATGTAATACAGGGACTTTCTGGAGGGATGAGGGGGAAGGGAAGAGGGAAAGAGAATAATGTGGGAGGAGAATAATGGCAAAATGTATCATATTAATGTATGAAACTGGCACAAGGTAACTCACTGAAATCTGTTGAAAAATAGTAAGGGATTATTCATAACAGCCAAGTTTTGGAAACAGCCCAGATGCCCCACAACTGATGAATGGGTTAAGAAAATATATCATATACACAAAATGGAGTTTTATTTAGTTGTAAAGAAGTATATTATGTTGCTTGCTGGTAAATGGATAGACCTGGAAAACCTCATGTTAAGTAAACTAATCCAGACTGAAAATGTCAAAGGTCACATGTTTGCCCTCATATGTGGAAGCTAGAACTACAAATCAAATATACACATAAATACACATATGATCATATATATGCATATAGTGTGAGAGAGAACAAGATTGTATTGTGGGTCTCTCTGAGAGGACTATGGGAGGTGAGAGAGGGAAAGAAAATGTTAGAGAATGAAGCATAGTGAAATAACCTATCTATATATGAATATTATATAACAGAATGCACTGTGAGCTGTTGGATAATAGGGGAGGGGGTGAGAGAAAAAGAGTAAGTAATGGGGGTTAATTTGATTAAAGCATGATATATATATATGTACAGGCTGAAATGCTAAAATGAAAGGCCCTTAAGTTATCAATATATAGTTTAAAAAACGAAGGACAGGAGGGCAAAACAGGTCTTTTCCAGGGAAAAGAAGGCAGAGGGTATAGGGAAAAGGTGAATGAGTGTGAGTATGGTGGAGATATCTTATATTCATACATGAAAATAGAATAATAAAACCTGTTGAAATTGTCCTAAGAAGGGGGGTGGAGGAGGGAGAACAATGGAGTGGGTAAATCTAAGATATATTGTAAACACATATGTAAATATCACAATGTATCCCTCTGTACAACTATTATATGCTAATAAAAAAGAACAGTTGTTGGGGAGGGGAGACAGAGAAAACAGCAATATAAGGGGCTAATTTTATCATTGTACAATATATGCATGTGTGAAACAGCATTGGTGTAACTTCTTTATATAATTAATATGTACAAATAAAAAGAATTCAATATATGAATATTAAATTACTTTTATTACATAAAATTACATCTTAAAATTATTGCATAGTATTATGCATATACACATACTGGCATCTATATATTTTTTCAGTTCTGGTCACAGAAACATACACTGCTGGCATTTTTTTTTGAGTACAGAATTTAAACTCAGGGCCATGTACTTGCTAGGAAAGCACTCTGCTGCTTGAGTAATGCCTCCAGCCATTTATGTGTTATTTTTAAGATATGGTTTTGCTGTTTTGCCTGGGGCTAGCCTCCTACCACAATTCTACTTCTGGCTCTTGCCTAGTTGAGATTATAGTCATGTGACAGTATGTCCTGCCCCACTGCTAGGATTTCTACTCAGGATATTGTTGAACACTTTTTGTTCCTTTGATGTGCTCTCTTCTACAACATCAAGTTATCTCTTTCCCACATTCTCTCCAATTTCTATCACAATAAAACGCAGTTATTTAAGTCCTTTCAGGTTTGACCTCTTTTATAAGGCTTCTGTCATTTGCTTAGTACTTGAAAGTTGCTCCTTTCTCTTCACTACAGTTTAGCAGATAATAAGCATTTCCACTGTTTAAGCATTTGTGAGTACAAATTAGAGATGAAAGACCTAAGACCAGAATCATTATAGAAAGAGAAAGTTCTCTAATGAGGTAACAAGGCAGTACTCTGTGGTGTTGCTACAAGCCAAAATTAGTGAGCTCATGGAGACATAGCCCTTAATATCTAGTGTGGTAATTCTTCACTCTTTTCACAGATAATTCTTGTATACTACCATTAGGAATAAAAGAAGGCCTAAATCTAAAGAAGGCTACTTAGGTGAATCCAAAATCAATGCTACAAGAAACAGAGATGGTCAAAAGAGTGAAGAAAACAAATTTTCTTACCTCCAAGGACTTTGATAATAGATACAGAATTACTGAGTTTAGAGAGGCAATTGTCAAGCAGCACTTGGAGAAACAATTCATACTATATGAAAGAAAACTTCTTAAAAACAGTTTTGAGGATGTATAGACTAAAAGAATATTACAATCTTTGTAAATGAAAGATTATACTTCTGATATTCAATATGTAAAATTGTCCTAGGTTTCTGAAAGGAAAAACAATAATAATGTTTTGCATACCCCAAAATAACTAAGAGAGTAAATTTCAAATATATCACCACAAAAATGTTCAGTAAGAAGGCGATAAATGTGTTAATTGATTTGATGAATCATTGTATCAAAATCACATTTGTACCATAAATATAGTACAATTATGATTTGTCAACTGAATACCCTGCTGATTTAAGGAAATAAAAATTAAAAAGTAGTGAAACCAACTATGTTCAATAGTTAGAGTGAATATCTTTGTTGATTCTGAAAATATTTAGTGAACATCTACCAAACGCTGCTTTTGTTGCTGAGGTTCTGATACTGAATGAAACAGATAAAAATCATTCTGCAAAATAATCTTGTCATTTCAATTTTTGTTCAAACATATTATTCTTACCCTTTTGGAAGTGAGATTGCTTTGTTCTGTGAAGACATAAAAGTTCTTGCACTCACTAAAGAGAAAGCAAAACTCATATAAAGCACAGTTTAGAAGTATGAAAATCATCATGCAATCAATCGTGTATGGGCTTTATTCTGACACTTCTTGTAATGCAATCAATCAAAGACAATCTGTGGTGGATGGTTTTCCTATTACTTTCAGTATTTTCTCTGTGCGTATGTACCTAGATGCACATTTTTCTGTTTGCAAACATTTGTATTATACTGTATTACTGTTTTGTGTAATGTTCTGTCATTTCAAAATATGAGATTTCACAAATTCATGAAAATTTTAATATTTAGATTTTAAATAGAGTTGAGTAGCATTAATAAAATTCAGCAAGAAAATATAGAATGCTTATCTGATTTCTGATGAGGTGAGACTTTCTTTTTTCTAAAACAAATAGAAAAATATGACTTAAGAATTAAAAATGTCTTTACAGCAAATAATCCCAGTAAACTCATGAACAGAAGAACATAAAAAATCCCATATTAAATATAGAAATTGCCTCAATATCCTCACATCATTAGGAGCCTCTAGCAATCAAAAGAGTATATTATATCATAATACATTATATAATAATTGTAATATATAGTATGTAGTATTTATTTATATATTATTCATGTATATATATTGTTTATATAAGTATAATGTATTTTATATATTATATATAAACCTATATGCAAATAAGCAAAAAAAATGAAGATAAGTTTTCATCTGTTTGAAATTAGTATTTGTCTTCTATAGTTATCAAAATGAAAATAAACTAATGAGGAACCACTCTTCATCATTTAAATTGCAAAAAAGTAGTTGGTAAGTGATTATATTCAAAATCCCTGACTGGTGTTCTGTTATACCCCAGGAATGGGAATGGGAATAGGCGTTAACACTTATCAAAAAGGCCCTGACTCGGCCATTTCCTTATAGAATAGTAAAACTGAATTCCTGTGACTGAGGCAGCGGTTTGAGACAATACAGGCAAGTGTGGGCAACACAGTGACACCCCTTTTTAAGAAAACAGTAGAAATGAAAATAGGATGGGGGAGGGAGAAAGGGGGAGAAGAGAGAGATAGAGAAGGAAGGAAAGAAGGAGGGAAGGAAGGAAGGAAAGGAGGAAGGAAGGAGAGGAATGGATGGAGAAAGGAGCAGAGAAAGAGAAAAAGAAGAAAAAGAGAAAAGGAAACTCAGAGACTGGGTCAGGCTCAAGAGATAGGGACTGTTGCCAGGGGGCGGGGCCACAGGTCAAGAGCAGCAGCGCCCAACAATGAAGAATGCCTCTTCTCTGTGACATCTGAGACTGTTCTAAACCACCCCAAAGAGGCTAGGGCAAAGACAGTGGTAGCAAGCCGCAGCGATGTCATGAGGAGGAAGCTTCTACACGGGTCTCTTTTAGGGGCTCTGGAAGGTTTCATCCATGGGGCTTTTAAGCAGCCGGGTCTTACAATGCAGGGAGCCAGGCGTTATCAATGCACAGCAGCCAGAAGCCATAGCAGGCCCCAGTTACATATCAGGCAGTCGCAAGCGCAAGCGGAACAGTGGCTACTGTTTGGACCCAAACTCTGACAACCCCAATTCTCAGGACCAGAAAGAAGATCGACAGCAAGTCCTCAGCACAAGCCACAGGAAAAAAGTTAAGATCTCATCTAAATATGCTTACCAAACTTTATTTTTGAAAGGAAAGATCAGTGATATTAAAATCCGTGCTCTGGGGAAAGTGTGGTGTTTACACAAAATATTTTTATGTCAGTCAGGATACTTTGCTAATATGTTCAGAGGTTCTTGGAACGAAGTGCATGAAGATACCATTGAACTGGAGGTTAATGACCAGAATATAGACGTCCACTCCTTGCATTTTGTACTAGGTTCCTTGTACAGGGATGAGGACTTCTTAATAGAGCCCCTTCAAATTCCAGGTATTTTGGCAACAGCATGTCTGCTTCAGGTAGAGGACTTAATTCATCAATGTGATGAGACCATGAAGGAAACAATTAATGCAAAAACTGTATGTGGTTATCATGTAGCAGCAGAAACCTATGGGCTAGATTCTGTAAAGACACGGTGCTTTGAATGGCTTCTTCACAATTTAATGACGCACCCAAGTGTTGAACTTTACAAAAAAATCAACATAGAACTCATGTATCTGCTAATTTCTTCTTCTGATTTACTAGTAATGCAAAAGGAGATGGATGTATACACCACACTTAAAGGGTGGATGTTCCTTCGCCTTAATCCAGGTTGGAAAGGCACAATGAATCAGCTTTTAAGGAACGCTGGTAGCTGGTTTTTGAAGCACTTGAAATATGTTAGTAATACCACTTTTCTTGAAATGAGAAAAGGAATAATGTTTCAACCAGTGTTTAAAAAATTGAGATTTCAGCATCTTATCTGTGACTTGGCCTCCACAAGACTTATTGAACAAGATCGTCTAATACCTTCAGAATGGCTATCATCTGCTTACAAACAACAATGGCTTACCTTGCTTAAGGCACAGCAATACAGAGAAATTGGGCCTCGAGTCCTAAATGAAACAGAACTTGAAGGATACAGCATGAGGTGTGGCAAAAAGATTATCAAAAATGGTAAATACTCTTGGAAGTGGTCAAGTTTCAACTTCGGCTTTCCTTTGCATGCCATTTTTACCAGCCATTATATAATTTTCAAGCAAAATACTTTCAGTCAGCTATGGGAAGATTCTGCCTCTATACAACCTCTACGAAATATTGCATTCAGATTAACTTTAGTATATTTTGATTCTAGTGGAAAACTAAGTTTCAGCAAAACAACTGGTTATAAAATCCTTACCTTTGAAAAGGATGAAGAACAAATAGTAATGAGGCTGGATAGCTTAGTTCTAAAGTTCCCGTTATATATATTCTGCAACTTTCTGTTTATGTCGTTAGAAAATACAGGAAACCAACAATCTCATCATTTAGACATTTTAGCATTTGGAAACTTTGGACGTCTCATTTAATTTAACAGCTGTATTATTAATATAATTAAGATGATCCGTAACAAAAATGAAATATTCTAATACATGTAGTAACATCACAAATCACTCTTTTTCATCTTCATTTACCTCCATTTATCTATGAAGAAAAAGTTTACTTACAAGAAAATATCTGTCAAATCAAATGATAAATGATGCTGGCATCTTTTGATTCTCATTTATGACCAATAGCCCAAGTCCAAATGAAAAAAGAGACTATATTTGCAAGGAATCAAAACCTGATTACCTTGTGAGATAAACTTGATCCTAAGGATGAGACAGAATTAAAGAATTCGTTCCTTTGCTGAAACTGTTGTGCAAATGTGGCTTTAATTGCGGCCTATTACAGGAGAGTCAGTCATTGGTTAAAAACTGAGGGTAGCCTTTCTGCTTTGGAATGTATAAATGTATGGTTTCAAATAACCAAACATTGGGTTTTAGAGCATTACATACTATAAACTTTATTGAGATTTTATAATTAGCCTTATACAAAGCTCATATTGTCTGCAGTTTGGAGAACTAGTATTACTGATGATAGATAGATACATTATCCTACCATTATATATTATAACATTATATATTATATAACACAATTTTATATGGTATGAATAAAAATATACAAGTAGATTCTATATATGCATAGAAACACACTTATACATATTTGTGCATGTTTAAATGATTATAAATACCAGAGAAAGACAACTTTTGAAATGATTAAGCAGATAAGCATGATAAACAAAATGGATTTCCATAATATCAGTGACTATGGGTATCAATACATGAGTAATTTCAAAGTGTGCTGTTTATTTTCTCTATTGGTGCCAAATTTGGCTTTCTTCTCAGTTTTGTTAATTTATTTTAATTGACTAATAATTTCATATATTTATGGGTCACAATATAACAGTTGGATCTATGCAAAGAAGGTAGATTCATTTAAGCTAATTAACACATCAATCAACTTGTTTTTTATACTGAGGACATTAAAATTTTAAGAAATTTTTGAATTATGCAATATATTAACAAATGTGATCACCATGCTGTCTAATAGATCATTAAAACTTATTCCTCTAGTCTCACTGAAACTTTGTACTCTACAATCAAAATCTTTCCTTTCCTCTTCTTCTCCCTTTCTTCCTCCAGCCTCCGATAACTAGATTTCTACTCTCATGGGATGTCTTTAACTGTGTGAAAAGACATCCCATGTATTAAGAGAGAAGAATTAAAAACCATCTTATGATAAGGGAATGTTTTCAAAATATATAATAAAATCAATTCAACCCTAAGAGAACGAATAACCCAATTTAAAAATGGACAAATTATCTTAACTGACCTATTTCAAAAACAAGGATACAAATGGCAAACACATACTTCTCACTTTTACTAGGCTTTTTATCTGCAGAGTATTTAATGCAACATTTATTTAAAAATGGAAGCTGATAAGCTTTAAAGATAGGTCTTCCAAACAGTTCCTGAGCTAGGAAGAGAGAACCTAGTCTGTTCAGCTGACTACTACAAATTTCAAATTTTGTGCAATATCTTACATGCAATTTGTGCTTTTGTCAATGTTAGTGTCAAATCAGGGGCAATTAACTTTAATGTGCTTATCATACCCTATTTTTTAATTTTTATCCTCAAAGCCCTCATGTTTTCACATATCATAAAAGCCTAGTAGTGGGTTCATCATTACTGGTGAACGTCTGTAGCTACTTGGATTGAAAAGATAAACTTAGGGTGATTTCATTGTCATTTGGATAATTTTGTATGGGTCGACTGTCACTATTTTCTTCAGAATTTGTTCACATGTCCTTTAGAGCAAAGTGAGGTGCTTCAAGTCATGTAAGATTTGTTCTAACAAAACTTATTTAACTTGCCTCATTTTGCCTTTTCTTTTTCTACTATTGCTGAATTCTACGTATTAAGTTGACTATGTGGAATCTGAAAAACTTTGAGTATTTCATCACCTTTCTAGAGCTATGACTGCATCTATCTTTTGACATCACTTGGTGGTTCACATTTGCATGGATAGAGCTAAATATGTCAAGAAAACAAATAGTGAGAAATGGAACACTAATTATAACTAAACCATAGAGAACTGAGTGCAATTTGAGGGTTTATTCAGGAATCAACATAGGGTTGATATTGCCTAAATTATTTCTGGTTTATTCCCATTTTGGATTTAGCAGACAGCGTACATAAAGCAATGATTGCGAGTAATTTTGGAAAAATGTGGGGATCATGATAATCTTATTTGTCTATTGATAGTATCATTCCTTTGTGCATATGTGATGCAAAGTAAGATATTCAAATAATATTGGATGGTAGTAGAGTGGCACACTAGACAGCCTTTTCAGGAATACTATAGATTATTGGGTTATCATGTGAAATAATTCTTTTCCTTACATTTCTCTTTCAAATTTTGAACCCTCAACTTATACAAGCGTCACGTTTTTTAAATTTGGCATTGAGAATTCCTTAAGATGTTAAAACATTTAATGAATGTTGAAGAAGGGATAGAATAAATTATAAGACAAATGGTTTTCTGTAGGACCTTCAATAGTAGCTCTGTGAGTCTTACATTTAGCAAAAGCAATCTTTGAACACAACCGTTAGCATCAAATTTAGTACACTGTCATAGGGACCTTTTCAATGGGAAATTAAAGTAGAAATAAATTCATTATTACGGATGCATACCAAAGTCTTATTCATAGCAAAATCTATACCAGGAGACACATATATTAGCAAAAGGAGCCAGATGCTATGCATGGCAAGATATACTCCTAAGAGAACTGATGGAGGGGTGTCAGAAGCAATACCTATCTAACCTATGATCCTATGACCTTCTGGTGTTCTTTGGAAAACTCCACCAGGAATGGGAAAGTACTGTAGATGTGGTTTCAAGACAAAGGAGAAGTTGGAGTAGAGTGACATATTCTTGGAAATCACCATTTCTGTGGAGTAAAAGGTAATATAACAAGATTAAGTGATATGCACTGGGAATTCAACATATATGGACCCTCCAGTATAGCTGGTTCAGTACAAATGTATACCATCTTATGCAGTAAACTGTAGCACTGAAAAGCAAAGAAAGGTAAGTTTATCTAATTGTAATCGTAGAAGGAATGGCACATCACAAGTTATTAAAAATTCATGTGTCTCATTATAATGCTAAAAAAATCCTGTATTGCAAATATGCCAAATCTAATTGAGGTCTTTTAATTAGATGTATTTTTCATGTGGCAAAAATGTTAATACAACTATCATCAATATGAGTTTTCTTACATATGTATTGGAGGGAATAAAAGTTGTAAGATGAAGAAAAATTTGGACACATTTCCATACATCAAATTAAAACTCTTTTTGATTCTGTATTTTCAAGCATTATGTTATATACTATTAAACTGAATTAGAGGCTTATAAGTATAGTTTCCAAGCAATCTCACTCAAAATCAGTAGTACCTGGAAATCCAAATTAACTTTAAATATCTTTTTCTAAATTGGATTAAATTTTACTTTTAGCGTGTGAGAAGTATTCTAAGAAATCACAAATTCTTATTTTCAATTTTTTCACAAAGAAGAAAAGGATGAATGTAAGTGCTGTGGTCTAACTGAAATTCTAGTAGTATATTCAGTAATACATATCAAGTACTTGTTGAAACATATGATCAAGAGGATGTCATTAGGTTCATTTATAAAAAGTTATATTATTAATAACTTCCTTAGTCTATTTCATTTGCCTTCATCAAAATTTGTCAGGATAGCATAACTACATGTCTGAATACTGAATAAAGCACTTTGTTCTAATAATATGAAATCAATATATTTTTATTATATTTATATGTAGAACAAAATCATTGTGGAAAATGTACTCAAATTCTTTAAAATGGGGATAGGCAGTTCTTTCACTGCTATTTTGTTAAATAGAAAATCTAGGTTTGTATCATATGTAAACTATATATAAGTATAAATAAGTGATATAAATGATGTATATATTTCTATATACATATATGTATGTATGTATATCACTGTACTACTGCTATGTAGAAAGGTCTTTTGCAAGGTTAAGCTTTGATTGGAATATGAGATCCTGAATTTCAGGTGGTTTCCCAAAAGCAACTGATAACAGTGATTTACTTTGCTAAAACTGTAAATCCATATGATTTTTAGTAAACACTGATTTTCTGATTTTCTTCTGGGAAACTGGAATTATGGTATATGATAGACAGTAAGTGCTTACATGACTAGCTCCTAACAGAATATTTATCAGTAAATCTCTAATGAGTTTTCCTGGGAGACATTTCACAGTGTTCTAGCAATTCAATGCTGGAGAAAGTAAGCATGCCCTGCATAACTTCAATGAAAGAAGATTCTTGGGAGCTTATGTCTGATTTCTTATAGTTTCACCACACACCATTTCCTGTTCCTGGTTTTGTTTTATATTCCACACCTGTAATAAATTTTAGTTGTGAGAACAACTCTCCTAGTGAGTCACTGAACCTTGAGTACCCCCAAAGCACCTTACTAAAAATATTTGGCGGAGATTTACACTAGCTTATAATTTGATTAGAATACCACATAGAAGAGTTTCTTTGTGCAGTCCCACATTAAAGTTTCTAAAGGGGTGTCTGTGTGTGTGTATGTGTGTACACCAAACAAAAAACAAGACTAAAGGTAAATTTACCACCAAATAAAAATTCAAAACAAAACAAATAAATCTTGGTTTCATGGATTGAATATGAAGTATTCTCCCCCAAAGACTCATGTGATGAAGTTGCAGTCTCAGCTGGTGGTGCTATGAAGAAATGATGGAGTCATGAGTACATAGCTCAGTAGGATAATAGGAGCAGGACCTAAGTAGAGGTCTTAGTTGGAGGAAGTCAAGAGGAATTGATTTTGAAAGTTATATCCGTGCCCGGTCCTTTCCTGTCCCTTGCTCTCTGTTTCTAGCTACAATGATATGAGCCCCTTTGCTACCACAACCACTCTGC